TTACATTACAAAATTTATAAGAATAAATTCTAAAATAAATTAATATTTTTACTAAGAAAGCAAACCTTAAGCCATCTTTTTATTTTTTTCCATGACAGGAAAAGTTCTCTTTTTTCTGAAAATATTTTTTCATTATTAAGCGAAACTGTAAAATGAATTTTAGATGCGCAGTGTATGACTGTTATTTTGAGAATTAATTTTTTTTGTCTATAAACTTCTTTCTGGTTTTCCTTGATATCTGTCATTTATTATGCCATTAACCAAACATTATGTCTCATATTTCGCTAGTTTACTAATATTTACTTTTAAAATTACTGGACAAATAATTAACTTCTAATCGATATATGTGATTCTTTCTGAGAGAAGGGACCTTAGTTCTTAAAAAATATTTTATTAGTTTCACCTTCATAAAAAGTTTCTGTTTAATTACAAAAAATTAAATTAAATTTTTACTGAATTCTTTGAAGACAAAAAAAACTTGAACATAATTGTTTTGTCTCAAGAATTATTTCTTCTTTTATTTTCACTAAAAATGTCAAAATTATACCCTAAAATTTTTGGGAGTTAATGTCCCCTCTCTCAGAAAGCGTCACATATGTCAACATATTCGGCTTCTTCGATTACTATTCTTTATAATAAAAATTCGAACATTTTTCAGGAAAATTACAAAGTGTCCAGATTACAAAAAGGTGCATTGCCATCTATTTTTCCGAATTGTCCAAAGTATTTGTCAAATTCTTAAAGGAAACGTCCACCACCGACTAAAAGAGACATGTTTTTTGAAGAAATAAAAAAGGAAAAAAGAAGAAAAAATCAGAGTACATGTGACGAAAATTTTAACACAGTAGATGTCAGAGAAGAGTCTATTTCAACAAATTCAGAAATTTTGAAACATCTTTTGCTTTTAAATATTATTTAGGAACTTTAAGACATAACGATTGTTCTCTAATCTTAGACGAAAACACAAATAAAAAAACTAAATATTGTGAAAAATGTAGAAAAGCAAAAATCACATTAGCTAATAAAACGGTACGGCTTCAAAAAAAAAAAAGTTTGGAAAGGATTGTCTTAAAATGGAGTCCAAATAAAGAAAGAAAATCACAGTTATTAAAAAAGAAGTTAAATGCTAGCATGAGGCAAAATGTTCGAATTGCTGGCCAATTAAAAAAAAATTAAAAGAACACAAGCTAGCGAACAATAAACTAACTGTGATTTCCGAAATATTGAAAGCCTCGAAATGGAAAAACTCCACTGGTCGTCGGTATTCTGAAGATTGGATCATGCTAAGTCTGCTTTTCCACATGAAATCACCAGCAACCTACAGAATGATAAGAGAAGCAAAAGTATTGCCATTGCCTTGTACGAGTACAATTCGACGGTAAGTAATTTTTTGCAAATGAATATTTTATTTTTCATTTAGTAGTTAAGGCTATCGCTTTATTGGAAAGGTCAGGTGCAAGGCTCCATGGAGTAGTGACAGATGGAGCTACGACGAATAGAAAGTTCTGGACAGAAGTCGGAGTATCAGGAAAATTCAACGAAACCAGACACTGTTTTCCTAATCCCTTTGATGAGAATAAATTGATTTACATGTTTTCGGACACGCCTCATTTAATAAAGTGTGTACGAAATATTCTATTCAAGAGAAAGGAGCTTAAGGTAATTCAATTATGTTTTTTTATAAAGAATGAATATTTACTTATTATTACTACACATATACAACTCATAATAGTAATTTTCGCACTTATGACGCTATTTATATTTATTCTTACTGTTTATTTAAATAAAACTTGTTTTATTCAATTTCAGATTGATGTAAACAAAAAAATTAAATGGGAGTATTTTGAAAAGTTGTTTGATATTGACCGTAGTAGCGTAAATAGCCGAATTTGTCATAAACTTACTGCTAATCATATAAAACCAAACAACTTCTGAAAAATGAGAGTGTCATTAGCTGTACAGGTATATTTTAATTTATTATATAACTTTTAATTTCTTCTTTTTCAAAAAGTGAAAACTAATAATTTAAAAATTTTTCTGTTTATTAGATTTTTAGTAAAACAACAGCAAACGGACTGCTAAATTATAGGACTTATTACCCGCAACAAATTGCATGCAAATAAATAATTTATTCGATGTTCTAAACAGAACAAAAACGTACCGCTGGACTTACACTTGGAAGCAATGATTTTAAGGTGGGAAGAATTGTTACAATTACATATTCAACTTTTAATTTTTATAAAATGTTTACAATAAAAACAAAATCACAGATTATGAGGATTCTCTTTCCTGGTTGAATGATTGGCAGCAAAAATTGGAAGAAGAAAAAATTACTGCGAACGAATTCTTGACATCACAAACAAGCGAAGGATTGAGAATGACAATTCACTCAACAATAGATTTATCGAAAACACTACTGGAGACGTATAAATTTAATTACGTCCTAACTGGAAGGATTAACCAAGATTCCTTGGAGGTATGTGGAGAATAGTTAGGAGAAGAATAGTAAATGACAAAAATAATAAAATTATGTCATTCGACCAATTTTTATTTTATAAAAACTGTCCAAACGACATTATTTTATAATTTATTTTTATATTTTTTGACATGAAAACAGAATTCTTTAGCATGAATAGTTTCGAGTACAAATTTTCATATTATTTACACTTAACTAATTCATAAATTAATTGTGCTTATTTCAAATTTAAATAATACTAGAATTTTTAATTCTACATTATTCATTTGTTAACATATCTAATATAAAAACAATTTGATTAATAATTACTTTGAAAAAATTGATTTTACTTGGTCTTTGTTTAAATAATTTCTTTATAAATCTTATAATTTTAACGTGCAGACATTATAGTCATGAATATACAATTGTAAATGAAGTTTATTTATAACTTGAAAAAGCGTTTTGCTTTATAATATTTTAAATACTTTTGAACGTACGTATGTAATAAAGAATGTTAATTTTTATTCAATATTTTATAAAAATTATTTAATTACACATAATCAAAATAAATATAAGATATATTCTTTTATTTCTATAATTTATCTTATTATCATTATTATTACAATTAATTATATTTTATTTTTCATTTCCATTATCCTCTAGATAAAATTTTATTTTCGAAAATTTATTATTTGGTCACTTTTTTAAGGAAACTTGTATCATGCATATATGTATGTTTTTCAATTTTATTTTATAATGAAATGTTAATTATTTAAAAAAAGAAATTGGTTTACTATTTTTACACAGATTGCAGTTTAAAATTCTATGAAGCGCCATAATGTTAATTTAAAAAGAAAAAATTAAATTGATTTTAATTTTTTATTTTAGCGTTTCTTTGGAACTGTTTGAATATCTGCGGGAGCCAATGGCCATCCAACTACTCCTACCTTCCTTCAAATTTTTAAAATACTATCAGCTTTCAGTATTTTAAAACCTCCTAAATTAGGAAATTGCACTGTTTTTGATGGCAATCCTCCTCAGCCATTAATAACAATTTCTAAATTGAAAGAGTTGTACAATTCTCTCAGTAAAACTGCAATGGAAGAGCTTCGCGAAAAATTAAATTCAACTATTAGTTACGAAGACAGTGACTTTAGTGATTTTGTGGATGCCACGACTCACGATTATGCTTTACCAATGATTCAAGACTGTTTAATTTTCTATTTAACTGGGCGAATTACTGCTTATATTAAAAAACAAAATGACTGTTCTGTATGCTTAAATGCTTTTCTATCAACGTCTGACATTACAGAAGACAATCCACTTTTTTCCTGCAACCAATTGCCACAAAGTCTAAGCAGATTTACGAAAACTGATAAAGATTTTATTCACCCAAGTGTCAGATTATTCAAGCTTATTTCTACAATTCAACATCTTTTTAACAAATATTGCAAAATGAGCAACTGTTTTGATCTAATTGTAAATGAATTGGCATTTTCTGATGATAAAATTAATTTCCCTTGTCAAGAACATTCTACAAACGCTGCTAATATATTGTCTTATATAATTAAGCTTTTTTTGGAAGTAAGAATGAGATAATATATCTATCAGCATAATGCTGAAATAAAGAAAAAAAGTGCGGCGAAAAAAAAGCAGCCAAGCTTTGCAAATCGTAAATCTTGATTATCTTGATCTCTTTCAGTTTGGAAAATTAATACCAAAGACTAATAAATTAGATAATGAATTTTGATAACTAATTAATGTTGGTAAAATTATTATTTTATTATCTATTAAACTAATTGATCAATTTTTCGAATACATGTTGAATAAATTTTGCATAATATATTTATCTTTTATATTATAAAGAAGATAAAATTGTTGGATATGTACGATTTATTTGCTTATAAAGTAAATGAAATATTATATATAATATATATTTAAATAAAATATGTATTTATATATAATTTTAATTTGTTTCCAAAATAATAATAAATTTTATTTCGTTCATCATGATTATATGATTAGTATTATAACGAAATTATTTAATTAATTAATGTTATTAATTAATAACCCCTTTTTAAGTTACAAAAAGAAACCCAACGTGATAATTTGTTAGACGCCAGCCAATTTTTAAATGGAATTGGCAAACCAGAAAAATCACTAAATAACCCCAAAACTCAAAATCAATCAAATTAAATCTCAGAGGAGATTCTGTCGAGAACGAAAGTCGCAAAAAGGGACACGACCCTTGAGACACGACACAACAAAATTGGACTTACCCACGTCGACAAATTCGGCTCACAAATTTCCTTTTTGGTCTGTCCTCTCAGCTGATGTCGGGAAGACGCCGGCAAGGGAAAATGGCCAAACACACAAAATAAAGTAAAACTCTCCTTTTTACACTTTATTATGACTCAAGAAGTCGAGCACTCACTCGACGACTGTACAACAATTGTTTTGTTACACCTCTCTTCTCAATCGACAATTTATACTCTCCACACAACTCATAAACAACACGCAAAAACGTCGACGACTCAACACACGCTCTCTGTGTATATCTTACATTGATTTTCACTTCGATCGCCTTCGTCTCCGACTCGTTCCATGAGTAGCCGCCGCGATGGCGCCACCTCCTGGACTCCTGCGTTGTCTCTGCTACAAATCCCCAAACGCGCGAAACCCAACCCCAGTCAAAATTTGCCTTGTGACGAATTACTTCGTCACAAACACCCCTCCCCTAGGCCGTTACTACTCCCAGCAGTAACGCCTAACCACAACATCAAGCCCAAGTCGAAAATTAATCGTCCCTTGTCGACAATCTGGAGGACTACATTTTGTCCATGGTCCTTCGCCTCTCTTCAATCAACTGTCGAACCGCCAAATTGATTGTTTCAACTGGTAACCCGGTCATCATTCGAGTCAGTTGTTCAATGGCGCTGACCAAGTCCATAGCAGGAACCTCCTCTGTCGACACTAATTCCGAAGACGACGGTGTGTTCTTCTTCGGTGGTTCCGTTTTCTCTTCTGCAGAGACCACCGTTGGTTTACGAGGTGTCACGTCGTAAAGAATTGGGACTGCTGCTACATGTCGGGACTTCTCCGGTATTTTTGGGCCCGATGATGAAGGATCAACTCCTGATTGGGACCGTCCTCGCGCTTTCTCCAACTTTCCCCTGTCACTAATTGTTGATGACTCCTTTTTCTCCAGGAACCGTTCGTGAGCCTCTTTACATCTGGGGCAGTTGATTAGGGTGACATATTTCCTGCCACAGTTATAACAGCAAGATTCTGTCACTTTCTTGGGACACTCCTGGCGTCGATGTCCTCTCAACCAGCAGTTCTGGCAAACATGGGGAGGGGGGTCGACTGTTGGGTCGGTCAATATTGGTTTTAATCCATTAAACATAACCCCGGTCGTCTTTGTAGGTAACGGTCTGGATCGATTTCCCCCACCCACATCGCCCCCTTGTCGCAAATTTCCGGTCCCAGATTGTCTCTCATTCCGTTTGGAGACATCGGCTGATATTTTGGATCGATTAGGAGGTCCAGGCGGAGTGATTGGCCTGGGTGGGATTTCCTTCTCTTCCTCCTCCCCTGGGTAGACCAAGTCTTCCTTCCTAAAAACCTTTCTCCTCTTTTCCTTCTCTTCCCGTTGTCTGTCCCTCAACTTCTCCAGCTCCATCGTCGACTTTCGAGGCTTGTCCTGTATGAACCGCTCCAGTTCGATCATCGACAATCTTGACTCGAACTGCGCCCAACTTTCGCCCGCGCGTTTATGCGGGTGATCGTCAATTGGTTCGGCCACCGGTAAGGACTTTGGTTCGATGACCCTATCCCCCGAACGATCATCGCTCAATCCCCCAGTCGCTAACAGCGGCCGTCTGACAGCCCCCAATTCCCCGGTCGTCATAGGATCTGGATTTGGAAAGTCCAAAAGTGAAGGTGGGACCGACAGGTCTCTTGGTGGTTCGAAGGTCCTCTCTGGGCGATGGAGTGACATCGATCTTGGTCGATAACGATCACTTCGCCGTTCATCTCCTCGTCGACTATTCCCATGTCCGGACATCCTCTCTCTCCAATATGGCCCCCGTCGCTTATCCCTCTCTCTCCGTCTCTTACTACCCTCGTCAAAACTCCTCCTCTGATCTACAAAAGAAATAATCATTAGATATGGTCACTAATTTCGCGGAGGAAGGTATCGTTTTAGGTCGGAGACATGGATTTTAGGGATACGACGACTCTCGTTATCACTTAAGACAAAAACCGTAGGTGATAATTTCTCCACGATCTCGAAAGGGCCCTCATATTTCGGTGCGAGTTTCGTCGCGAAATTCCGTGTACCACTCGACAATTTGTGTGATTTACGGAGTACTAAATCACCCACATTAAACAACCCCTCACGTCGATTACGGTTATAGTACTCGGTCTGTCGATCACGTTCTTTGTCGATAAATTTCGCTACCAAGTCTCGCAACGCATCCAACCTCTTTACCCTGTCTACCCAATCTTCTGGCGCAATTCTCCTAACCTGATCTCGTGGTTCTACCTCCCGTCGCAAACTTTTAACCGGTCGAGGATGTCTTCCGTAATTCAAAAATGCGGGAGACGTTTTAGTCGCCACCTGTGTCGCAGTGTTTATAGCATGGCGAAACTCGTGAACATGAAGATCCCAGTCGCGATGATCATTCCCTATGAAAGTCGCAATCATGGTCTTCAATGTCCGGTTACTCCTCTCCACAGGATTAGCTTGCGGGTGGTAGGGTGGTGTGGTGATGTGTTTGACACCATATTCCTGAAGCGTTTCCTTGAGGAACTTGTTGTCGAACTCCTTCCCATTGTCTGTTAATAAAAAGTCAGGGGTTTCCCAGCGAAAGAGGACCAATTCTTCAAATGCTTTGGCCACCGACTTTCCATCAGCTGATCGCAACGGTTTCACCTCAACCCACCTCGAGAAAAGATCTTGGAACACGACAAGATATTTACACCTACTCTTGCTTGGTGGAAACTCCATCGTGTCCGCTGCCACTACAGCCCAAGGTCGCTCAACTATCCTCTGTCCCATTAGTCCTGCCGGTCCTGCTTGTGATGCCTTGTGAAGCTGGCACTGGGGACACCGAGTGACATACTGGTGGACATCATTCCAGATTCCTTGCCAGTAATATTCTCTCGCCACTCGATTGTATGTTTTCTCCACCCCCAAATGACCTGTCGACGCCAACCCATGACCGTCGTGGAGAACTCTCTCTCTGTACTCCTCAGGTACCACCAGTTTCCAGCCATCTTCGTCGCCAACAATCGGAAGGAGTAACGGGTCACTCCTATGTCGATAAAGATGATCGTTCTCAATTTTCCATCCAGGAAAACGCTCCGGGAATTGTCGAACCAAATCTCGTCGCTTAAGGTACCATTGATCCATAATGGTATCAAAGGCATCGATCATCTCTTCGTCATCCTCGCTCATCCTGGACAATGCATCTGGGACTTGGTTCAATGCACCTCTCCTGTGAATGATTTCAAAATCCCACACCTGCATTTCCAGGGCCCATTCTCGCTAGTCGACCACTCGGGTCCTTCAAGTTTCTGAGCCACTTTAGGGCACTGTGATCTGTGATCACCTTAAACTTGTATCCCTCGATGTACGGTCGCAACTTCTTAATCGCCCACAACAACGCTAAACACTCCTTCTCCGTGACGCTATAATTCCGTTCTGCCCCTGTCAGAACACGGCTGATATACATCACCGGATGTTCACCGTCGTCAAACTCCTGAGTCAACACAGCTCCAATAGCAAAATTACTCGCATCACATTGGATGGTGAATGTCTTACTAAAGTCAGGACGGGCCAACACTGGCGCTGTCGTAAGTTTGTCCTTCAACTTGTCGAAAGCCTCTTGTTGCTCCTCGCCCCATTCCCAGTCTCGACTCTTCTTGAGCAATTTAAGAAGAGGTATCTTGATTTCGCTATCGTTTTGGATAAATCTCGAATACCACCCCACCATGCCCAAAAATCTTCGGAGTTGTTTGACGTTCTTTGGTGCTGGATAGTTTCTCACTGGCTCGGTTTTTTCGGGGTCTGGTCGCAATCCTTCATTGTCGAGAAGATACCCCAAGTAGGTAACCCTAGAGCACCCAAACTCACATTTCTCTGGGTTAACCACAAATCCCGCGTCTGCCAGTTTCTTCAAAACTATCTCCAGCCATTTCACGTGTTCGTCGAAAGTATCTGTCACAATTATTATATCGTCGAGATAACCAAACACGTGAGGTTCAAATTCCGGCCCGAAAAGAGCATCAATTACTCGTTGAAAGGTCATCGGCGCGTTAGTCAAGCCGAATGGCATTCGTCGATATTGCCACAGTCCTGAGCCGGGGATGGCAAAGGCCGTATACTTTCTGCTCTCTTCTGCCATTGGAATTTGGTGATATGCCAGTTTCAAATCGATCTTCGACAAGTATCGCGCCTTCCTCAACTTGTCGAGTATGGAGTCTATCGTCGGAATTAAATAGGCGTCCTTGACGGTAACCTTGTTGACATCCCTATAGTCCATACACATTCGAAAATCTCCATTCCCTTTTCTGGCAATCACCGGTGCACTCCTCCAGTCGCTACTTGATGGTTCGATCACGCCTTGCCCATGTAGTTGAATCATGTGTCCTTGAGCCCACGTGATCATAATAGGTGACATGCGTCTCTGTCGATGCTGTACTGATGTCTCGTCTGTAACCCTTATATGATGTTCTGTCAGATTTGTCACCCCCAGTACGTCAGATTCTGGAAGAACCAATCGGTTCACCATTTCTTGAATGATCTCTCCTTGTTTGTCCGTTAACGCAGAGATTCCAGCGCATTCAGCGTAGATCGACTCATCACTCTCAATCCCATCCTTGACGCCAAAAACATGCCAGTCGCCATTGAAAACTCTCCATAACCCCAGTCCCAATTGTACCTCCATATTCCAGGCTTTACAGAAATCCACACCCAAAATTATGTCTTGTACTACTGAACTAAGGACCTTGACGCTAAACGGTTGAGAATGGCCATCCACCTCGATGTTCAAATTCAACAATCCAGCTGTCTCAGTTACTCCTCCAATGGCGCTTCTTATCGATGTATTGCAAGGCTGGATGCGGCTCTTATAAGGCTCTGCCACTCTGTCGCTAATCACCGAGATCATCGCTCCAGGGTCGAAAAGTGCCTCATAAGATTTGTCGCCAATGGTCATTCGAAAGAAATAACGATTTTCCATACGACTTCCGTCTACATCCTTGTCGAATAAGGGTTCTGGGTCAGCTGTGCCCGTCACAGCCTCTCCCCTCCTCTGGACTATTGGTACTGACTCCATTTCAGTATCTTTAGTCCCATCTGTCACTAACACGTTTTTGAGTGAATGCTCTCCACTCATTTGGGTTTCTGGTACCTGCGTCACAAATTTAAATGAATTCTTTTCATTTAATTCGTCTGTACCAACACTCTCATCACACTGTCTGAGTGGTCCCTTCCCACTCTGTTGCCCACTACAGGATGCATCCTCGTTGATTGGGAAAAAATTTAACCCTCTTGGTTTACTCTTCTTTTCCCCTGAACCTTCTCCAACCCTGGTCGCTACCCCGTCGTTAAGAATCGGTTTTAATGATTCTTCAGTGGGTTGGAGGGGGTACAGACCCGCTCTGTGCCCCCCATTGTCCGTTTCCAAAAGCGGCCCTCACTTGGACGCAATTCGGACAATTAAGGAAATTCACGCCAGGCGCTCGACAAACAAGGCATGACTCGACCTGGACTCTAGCTGTGCACTGTGCCGCGAAATGACCACGCTGTTGACAAACAAAGCATGTCCTCATGGGGCATTCCGAAACTTTGTGTCCGACCATTTGACATGTGAAACATGCCCCCACAAATGGCTTCGACCCGCCCGTCGCAATTTGTGTTGTATGTCCAGTGTTTCCAACTCCTTGTTTTGGTGGAAATTGGCGCTTGCCTTTCCCAGCGGCCACTGTCGCATAAGTGGGAGTAGGGTTAGAAGCCCGTATCGGAGTCGCGGATGGCTGAGGACTTCATTGCTTAATTGCATTCACCTCTGTAGTCCCCTTCTCAGAATCAGTCTTCTATGTCTTCTTCGACTTTTTCCCCTTACCCTTCTTGTCGACCACCTTCTCTACCTCGCTACCCGTCGCTGACTCGTCTTCTAAAGCCGCTATCTTCTTGGTCTCTTTAGAGGAAGATGGCTTTTTCTCATCCTTCTTCGCACCCTTATAAGCCGCGGCGGGAAAACGCATTTTCTCTTTAGGGGGAGGGGGAACGTATCTGTCGTCGAGATCTTGAACCTTTTCGAACTGTCGCAAATTTCTCTCTAATTTCGAGAGTGATTCTAACCCCGATGAATCAACTTGTTTCCGATAAGTGGGGGTAAGTCCCTTATAAGCAATTTTAACCTGTTCCCTGGTCGACAATGGTTTCCTAAGGTGCCCCATTATCAGTCGCAAACTGGTTATGTAAGAGGATATTTTCTCCCCTTTCGCTTGGGTCCTACTCCTCATCTCGTCTACCACTTTGTCGTCATCAATGGTCGTTAAATACTCTCGTCGAAAAGCTTTTTTGAATGACCTCGACGAACTAATTTCTTTACGAATTGTGCGGAACCACCTACTCGCATTACCCTTAAAAATGCTGGAGAGTGTTTGGAGGAGATCTTCGTCGCTTATCATGGCGCAATCTCGGCAGTCTTCAATCCTCTCTAAGAACTCTTCAGGATCTTCTCGCTCTTCACCCGAGAACTTAATATCCCAATCTTTAAGAGTCCTATTGATTTGAGTTAATCGAGAAGCTACACGATAGTCTCTTCGCCTCTGAGTCCTGTCGCTAACGTCAGTCTCGTTATCAGTTGAAGAATTGTCGAAAAGTGTCCTCCTAGCATCAACCCGTGGTGTATTTTGGGGGGTATGCCTTCGGCTGGATTCCCTACGTTCTTGACGACTCCCTCCCCTAGTCGAGAATCTGTCGCTAACTTCCGATCTCATTCTACTATTGTCGCTACCTAACTCGCTGGGTTCGCTCTTTACGCCTGAACCCCTTTCTCTCTTTATGTATGTGCGCCTACTGTCACATACTTCCCCACTCCTAATCCTGTTGTCGCCTACTGTCCGGGGGGTTGGGTTAGGGATGGTGTTGGGACTCTCTCCTCCTGATTGGTCCTGATTAACAGAAGTTATTTCATCCCCTTCCCCAGTCGCAAATTCTACTGGATTTTGAGATGGCTGGTGGAAATTGCTATTATCCCCCACATTCTGACCCATATTAGCAGCCATTAAATAGTTATTAATACGGATCGGCTGTTGTAACTCTGGACTCAGGGTAAACTTGGCTACAGACTGTCGCAAGCTAATCACCCCGGGCGACATCGTCGCTGAAACCCTCATTGACGGAGCAGAATTCACGATGGTCGTTGGCGCAGAGTTCATAGAATGAACGGCTGACATTCGTGGTGGGGAGTTTGTGGGGATCGACGCTGTGGACATCACCGGTGGTGATTGTGGAAGGGGCGGTGGAGGGGGCGGAAAACCATCGGTGGTCGGACTAGGTCTGCTGTGCGATGATTTATCTTCCAACCTTTTTCTTATGGCCCCTTTACTTTGTTGATCTCCCAAAAATCCCAAGTCACGAATCGACCGTGAATTTTTCTCCTCGTCGCTACTCGTATAATACTCGCATCCTCCTTTAAGATTTACGTTGGGCAATAAACTCTCTTCCGTGAATGCCTCAAACTGGAAAACTTTGACTGAGTTCCCCTTATCGTACTCGTCGCAAAAGGGCACGTCAGTTTCTGGGGGAAGCGCGAGTTTTAATTCTGCCCGAAACAGTCGTTCGCGCAGAACTTGTAAAGAGCCACTAATACATAATTGATTAGTCAGCAGGCTCGTTACCACTTGTCCTACCGGCATTCCTAAAATCACTTGCCACAATTCCTTCGCCTGTGGAATTGTTAACAAGAGACGCATCCTTTCTTTGTAGAAATGCATTCGTTCAATTGCCTCTGCCATCTTGAACGCTCGAAAAATTTAATTGTCGAAAAACACAATAAAAAAATTTTTTTTTAAAGGGGGCCCGTTCCCTACTAGATACGGCACTGGTCAATAAAAAGAAATTCCGTTAAATAATCGAGTCGCCACAAAGAAAATTTTTCTCCCTTAAAAATTTTCACGCAATATTGTAAATTAATTTTTGAAGGGCCCGTCGCTCCGTTGACACGGCCCTGGTCAATAAATTTTATACACTTGCTTGACTAGTCGCAAAGGAAAATTTTACTCCCTAAAATTTTTCACTTATTTTGGAATTCTAGAAATAGGGGTACCAATTTTATAGGTACGGCCCTGACAATTAAATTCAAGTTAGCACCACTTGACTTTTCACAAAAATAAATTGTCGCAAAAATTAAATTTGATAAAAATTATAATTTTTGGGGCCCGCTCACTATTAGTTACGACAGTGGTCACTCGTAAAAATTTAATTTTATAACCGGGTCGTCATTAAGAGAATTTTTCCCATTAAAAATTCTCACGTAAAATGTCAATTAATTTTTGATAGGGCCCGTCGGTCCGTTGACACGGCCCTGGTAAACAAAAAGGAAATTTAACAATTACTTGACTTGTCGTTAAGGAAATTTTACCCACTACAATTTCCAATTATAATTAAAGAAATTTTTAAAGATGACCGTCGCGATAATAATACGGTCCTGGATTAATTTTTGTTTATTTAACAATTCTCTTTTTTAAAAGTCACACTAATCGACACTCAAATTTATTCCACACGTTTCATTTAAAATTCTCAATTTCTCCACTCATTGAAAATTTTACAAGTCGCAAGATTCCCTACTGCGCAAGTCACAAGTGTTTGAAATTTCTATCTTCTTCCAAGTCAAGAAGCATGGGTCTCAAATTCAAACACCGAGATATCACGTAATACGCATGCGCGACGAATCACATGGTATGGTACAATTAATACGCCGGCCACGTGGGAAGCAATTATTAATAATAAATAATTTTTTTAAAATTTAATCACGCACAAAAATCCAGAAAAATTCACTGATTCCGAGAAAAATCGATTCGTCAAAATCGGTCGAGAAATGTCTCTGAAATTAATTCTTGAAAATTTCTACACGTGACTATGGCGGACGCTATGCATATTAAATTTACCTGGGAACACTCGCGAAATTGTCTCACTTTATTCGCTCGAACACAACTCCTCAACCATGTCGCAAATTATAAATTTCAGGACAGGAACAATACAAATTCATTACATGAGAAATTACAATCAGGAACAAAATATTTTCTGTCGAAAATATCAGGTCGAGAAAGTCACAAAAATCAAGTCACAAAAATTTGTCGTGTCTCAAAGTTTCTCAACGAGGCCCCACGTTGGGCGCCAATTTTTATAACGAAATTATTTAATTAATTAATGTTATTAATTAATAACCCCTTTTTAAGTTACAAAAAGAAACCCAACGTGATAATTTGTTAGACGCCAGCCAATTTTTAAATGGAATTGGCAAACCAGAAAAATCACTAAATAACTCCAAAACTCAAAATCAATCAAATTAAATCTCAGAGGAGATTCTGTCGAGAACGAAAGTCGCAAAAAGGGACACGACCCTTGAGACACGACACAACAAAATTGGACTTACCCACGTCGACAAATTCGGCTCACAAATTTCCTTTTTGGTCTGTCCTCTCAGCTGATGTCGGGAAGACGCCGGCAAGGGAAAATGGCCAAACACACAAAATAAAGTAAAACTCTCCTTTTTACACTTTATTATGACTCAAGAAGTCGAGCACTCACTCGACGACTGTACAACAATTGCTTTGTTACACCTCTCTTCTCAATCGACAATTTATACTCTCCACACAACTCATAAACAACACGCAAAAACGTCGACGACTCAACACACGCTCTCTGTGTATATCTTACATTGATTTTCACTTCGATCGCCTTCGTCTCCGACTCGTTCCATGAGTAGCCGTTGCGATGGCGCCACCTCCTGGACTCCTGCGTTGTCTCTGCTACAAATCCCCAAACGCGCGAAACCCAACCCCAGTCAAAATTTGCCTTGTGACGAATTACTTCGTCACAGTATATAATTGGATTTATCCCCACTAATCCCATTTTATGTATATATAATAAATATGTTGTAAATATTTTATCATTTCAATAAGCTGCTTATTATGTAATTTTAATTTTTATGGTCGGTAAGTAATATTTTAGGCGATAAAATATTTTCAGAATAAATAATTCTCTTGTTTTGAACTTTTTCTATTTGAAATAAGTGTATTCATAGAGCAGGACGCAAGCGGCGGCGCCTAGTAGCCATCTCAATAACTACCGAAACTATAATCACTAAGTAACCGCCATTCATGTCGGAATAAAATCCGGGTGGATAGTACCGAGTAGCATAATGATAGTACCGGATAACATCTACTTTTACCATCTTAAGATCATAAGTTCTTACCATCTATTTCTCTCCGTGTTCATATAAATTAAAAGTATACATTGTAGTGGCGAAGAATACGTTCCGAGGGCGCATGAATTTTTCATTGTATCTTGTTTTTCGATATGTTACCGAAGTTTCCAACTAAAATAATGGTTTCCATAGCAGACTATACCAGACACTGTTATAGTCTTGTTATGATGGGAGGAGGGGGGGGTCAAAATATAGTGTTACATTACAAATTGAAAAAATTATTCGTTTTTGAAACTGTATAGAGATATATTTAATTACTTAACGAAATTATAATAAGAATCATCATTTTGCAAACATAAGAAATATTTATATACAAATAGAATTTCATTTTACTGAAGATGTTATATATTCGCATTTTTTAATTCTGTAGGATTTAATGTTTTTCGTAAATTAAATCGAAAAATTCATACAGAACTCCACCTGTTCAAAGGTGCTTTTAAACAGTTTGATTAAACTGATTCTACGTATGGCGCATGATAAAAACCGTTAGGTATTATTTTTTTGGGAGGTCTGACTTAGCCTAGTTCTAGTGCTGCTCAGTTACTAATCAGACCGTAGCTAGCGTCGCTGGTCTGGAAGGTCTAGCCTGACTCATCTCTGATGCTAACTAGAAGAACTAGATAATTAAAACTTTTAAATTTAGAATTTCTAGACTGTGTCGAGCGATGCTGGTCTGGAAGGTCCAATCAGACACCGGTCTGATTCTAGCCATGAGGTCAAGATAACTAAAATTTCTTATTTTAATTGGAATTTTCTATTTTTTTCATTTAATTTAAGCTTGTATTTCATGTACTATTTTAAAAAAGAAAATGTTATATTAAACACGTTAACCCTTTCCGTGTTTCAAGAAAAAATCCACGATGTGGTCTTAAAATGTCCAGCAAATTCTGGCCGACAGATTTTTATGAAACTTAGTATATATAAGGGTTTATGAGGTCGTTGAATTCAAATTTGGGGGTAACTGATTACGAATCCGATGTTATTTTTCAAGAACTGAACATGGCGGACAAAAATTAAAAATTAACCGGATTTGCTTGAAATTTGTTACGCGGGCGTTTCGGGGGTTACTGATTACGAATCCGATGTTATTTTTCAAAATAAAACAAAACAAAAATTAAAAATCAAGCGGATTTTGCTTAAAATTTGTTACTCGGGGGTTTTTAGGGTCGCTAAATTCAAATCTGATATCAAAATTTAAAATCCAAAAACCCCCGAGTAACAAGTTTCAAGTCATTTGGATTCAATTTTTAAAAAAGTCGTCCGCCATTTTAAAAAACTAACCTCATATTCGTAATCAGCGACCTCGAAAATCCCTGAGTAACAAGTTTCAGGCCTTTTGGATTCAATTTTAAAAAAGTCGTCCGTCACATTGAATCCGACATTTTCAATTGTGAAAAACTAATCTCAGATTCGTAATCAGCGACTCTAAAAACCCCAGAGTAACAAATTTCAAGCCATTTCGATTAAATTTTAAAAAAGTCGTCCGCCATAATGGATCCGCCATTAAAAATTTAAAAGTCTAACATCATCGTCGAATTCATCGACCTCGAAAACCCTTATACTTTAAATATGGGTTAAATCAAAAAATAAATTTTTGTTCGTGTTTTTTACATGTTTTCCAATTGTTATAATTTATATTAGTTAATAAATAATTACTTAATTATTATAATAACTAGAGTCAATGATATCTGTATTGTGCCAAAGATGATGTAAAAAATATAATATTTTGTGATATGTATATGGGACCATTCATTAATTACGTAAGGACGATTATGGCTAATTTTGACCCCCCCTACCCCCATGTAAGAATACATAAGATTTTTCGAACCCCCCCTCCCCCTTCTTACGTAAGTTTTTAACAATATTAATGTAATTAAAAAATTAATTACAAACAATACAAATGGAAAATACTTGGCAAAATCTTACGTAAGAATAGCTTCAACCCCCCCACCCCCCGACGTAAGACCATGTAGAGATTTTATAAACCCCCCCTCCCCCTAAGAACCCTTACGTAATTAATGAATGGCCCCTATAAGCAATTCCATGGGATGTGATCACAAGAATTTTTGATGATTGGAGCAATTTTATTGAATCCTTGTGAATATGTTCCTTTATTTGTACAGAATGAAAGCCCACAAACAATTTTTCAAAATTTTCAAAATTTTTTGAGATATCTCTAATTAAAAATTTATGTCATTTTTAAAAAAAAACATGTAACTTTTTTTCCTGTTATCCAAATGAGATCAATTTTTTTTCAAATTTCTCACAAAAAGATGCAATTTTAAGAAAAAAATTGTTCATGAAAAAAAAAATTTTTTTTACCCGGAAAAAAGTCAAAAAAAAATTTTGAATTCATTTTTGGAAAAAACTACCTCTTCGATTTAAAAAAATTTTTTTTATGTTTAATGCATATGATGTTAAGAATAACTTCTCTAATTTTCATAATGGGACAGAAAGAACTTTGCGAGAAAAAAATTAAAACGTCCCGTGCGGCGCGACGGGTCGCGCGCATCTTAGCGTTCTTCGATTTGATAGAGCACCTGTACTCGTTAGTACTGCTGCTAACCCTCTGGCGAATTGGTTCAAGCGTATTTTGAGCGATTTTGCTTAGAAATCGCTTAAATTCGCTTAGAGTGAAAATTATCGATAAATTGTTAAAAAATTGATATAAAAGTGAAAAATAAAGATAAATTAATGTTTTTGTAGATGATTTGTGGAAAAATTGTTAAAAATTAAACATTAAATAAAAAGTTATTAATGTTTAAAGTGATGTCGATAAAGCCCTGGCGGATTGAATGATGCAAATGCTCCACGAAAGTGGTGGAGCATTCGTCGAGCACGAGATCGAAATTGAAATTTTATCTAAAATGTATAAAAATGATGAAATTGATAATATAATTATTAAAATCAATAAGTTTTATGCATTTTAAGATGATTATTGTTGAATAATTATAAAACTTTTATGTTTTTATAAATTTCAATATATTGCAGTTGATTGTCAACATTTGTCGATAAAATCAATAGAGCCGCGCTTTTTAGCAGGTAGGTGGCAGCACTCTTATTTTCTTTTCTTTAAATTTTTTCTATATTTTTTCAATCAAAAGCAAAATTATTTGTTCAACGGAAATATTAGTGAAAAAATGTATTGTTTTATTTTAAAAAATTAATATTTTAATAAAGAAATATTATTGGTAAAAAAAATTTGAAAAAAATTAATTTTAAACGGAAATAATGGAGAAAAAAATTTATTATTTCATCAAAAAAATTGATTTATTAATCAAATAATGTTTTTCATACAAATTTTTTGAAAAAACTAATTAATTTTTTCCAAACAATATTTCTGATAAAAAAATTATGTTAATGTTATGTTAATTATGTTAAATTATATTAATTATATTAATTAAATTAATCTTTCTAGCAAAATTTGATTGGTTAAAGCATTTTGTGACGTCAGCGCTCCAAGGCTGCGCTTTGTAGCAATAGTACCTTGTACATGTATCTATGGTATCTTCCAAAGATACACGTGTGAAAAATGTTGATTTAATTTTTGATTGTAAATATGTGATTTTTAGAAATAATGGTGGTAAAGTGTTGTTATTGTCATTGGTCCTATAACAAGGACAATGGATCTGTAATTTTCCTTAGGTAAGTTAAAAATTTTATGTTAAAAATGGGTCCACTGATTCCTTCAAACGTCCCTGGTTTAGAAAGAGAGAGTGTGGGATAAGTCGGTTCTTTCTCTCTCTTACTTTTTTCCTTCCCCTCTCTCCACAGTGGTGAGCGGTCCATTTCTATATGTCTATGGTTAAAAATAGTGAATTTTACAATGTGTGATTTTACCGGTTATGTAGCTGTGTTGTGAAATGGGGATCGATATTATCTGCAACACGATTGCCGCACGAAAGTTCCGATAGATGTCGGGCCACAATTTAGTCCTATAGCTTTATTGACATCATCATTTCATTAAATTATACGTGAATAAATGATAAATGAATTTTGTACATAAATAACGCATTATAATTAATAAATAATTTTTAAAAAATTAAAAAACAGAAAAATTTTTTTTAGTAAATAATCATTTTTTAAAATCACAAAATTAATTTTCAATAGAAGTTTCTATTGAAAACTAATAAATTAATTTTGTAATTATAACATTATAACATTTATAACAATTTTTCCACAAATCATCTACAAAAACACTAAATTATCTTTATTTTTCACTTTTATATCATTTTTTTAACAATTTATCGATAAATTTTAACTCTAAGCGAATTTAAGCGAAATTAAGCGAT